ACACACACACACACACACACAACGCGCGCGTAATAAAAAAAGATATAGTGATAAAAGGATCAGTCGATAAGATATAACAGTTATATGTGCTGCTAATAACAGAGCCCTAGAATACATGAAGCAGACTTGACAGAATTGAAGGGAGAAAGAGAGAATCCTACAATAATAATTGAGGACTTTAATACCCAACTTTCAGTCATAGAATAACGGGACGCAGAATCAGCAAGGAAATGGAAGACTTGAACAACACTATAAACTAAATCTAACAGACACCTCTAGAATACTCTACCTAACAACAGCACAATACAGGCTGAGTATCCTATCTGAAATGCTTGGGACCAGAAGTGTTTTTATATTTTGAAGTATTTGCATTGTACTTACCAGTTTAGCATCCCAAATCCAAAAATCAGAGATTCAAAATGCTCCAAAACATTTCTAGCAAACGCCAGTGGGCATTTTCTTTAGTCGTCATGCTGCACTCAGAAAGTTTTAGATTTTGCAGCATTTTGGATTTTCAGATTTGGGGTGCTCACCCTGTATTCTTAGGTGCACATGAAATCTTCTCTGGGGTAAACCATAGGATAGTCTCTAAAACAGGCCTTGGCTGGATGTGGTGGCTCACGCCTGTAATCCCAGCACTTTGGGAGGCTGAGGCAGGCAGATTATGAAGTCAGGAGGTTGAGACCAACCTGACTAACATGGTGAAACTCTATTTCTACTAAAAATACAAAAAATAAGCTAGGTGTGGTGGCACACTCCCGTAGTCCCAGCTACTTGGGAGGCTGAGGCAGGAGAATCGCTTGAACCCAGGAGGCAGAGGTTGCAGTGAGCTGAGACAGCGCCATTGCACTCCAGCCTGGGTGACAGGGTGAGACTCCCATCTCAAAAAAAGAAACAAAAACAAGCCTCAATACATTTAAAACTCTTGAAATTAGACAAAGTAAGTTTTCTGATTATAGTGGGGTGAAATTAGTAGAAGAAAATGTTTTAAATTCATAAGTATGTGGAAATTAAATACCACAGTTACAAATAAGCAATGGAACAAAGAGGAAATCACAAAAGATGCCACAAAACACTTTGAGATGAATGAAATGAAAATACAGTATGTCAAAACTTATGAGATGCAAGAAGAGCAGCCCTTAGGGGGTAATTTATAGCTGTAAATGCCTATATTTAAAAAGAGGAAATTTCTATCTCAAATCAGTAACCTAACTTTGCACTTTAAGAACTACAAAAACAACCCAAAGCAAAGAGAAGGAAGAAAATAGTAAATATTAGAGTAGAAATGAATAAAACAGAGAATAGGAAAAAAATAGAGAAAATGAACAAAATCCAAGTTGGTTCTTTGAAAAGATAAACAAAATTGATAAACCCTTGGCTAGACTGACCAAGAAAATAGAGGACTCAAATCACTAAAATCAGGAATGAAATAGGGTACATTACTACTGACTTTACAGATATTGAAAGGATTATAAGGCAATACCATGAACAATTATATGCCAGCAGATTATGTAACCTAGATGAAATGGACAAATTCCTACAAAGATATAAATACTAAAACTGACTCAAGAAGAAATAGAGAATTGAAATAAACTTGTAAGTGCAGAGATTGGATTAATAATAAAGAAAAATATTTAAAAAATACTCATCAAAGAAAACCCTAGGCTAGATGACTTCACTGGTGAATTATAAGGAAGGTTGAATGCCAGTTCTTCACAAACTCTTCCAAAATATGGGATTAATGGGGACACTTCCTAACTCATTCTACAAGGCCAGTATTACAAAAACCAAAGATAACACAAGAAAACTATAGACCAATACCAGTTATAAATATAGACAAAAATATTTGACAAAATATTAGCAAACTGAATCTGGCAGCATATTAAAGTGACTATATAGCATGACAAAGTGTGATTTATCTCAGGAATGAAAGGTTGGTTCAGTATATGGAAATTAATGTAATACAGTCTACTAATAAAGGACAAAAAACACATAGATTATCTCAACTTACGAAGAAAAACCATTTGACAAAATTTAACATTTGTATGTGATAAAAACACTTAGCAAACTAGGAATAGAAGGGATATTCCTCAACTTGGTAAACAAGCACTTATGAAAAACCTGCAGCTAACAATCATACTTACTGCTGAAAGATTGGGTACTTTCCTCCTCCCATCAGTAATAAGACAGATATGTTTGTTTCTTGCCATTTCTATTTAACATTATACTGATGGTTCTATATAGGTCATTAGGCAATAAAAAGAAATTAAAAAATCCAAATTAGGCAAACGTAAAACTATGTTTACAGTTGATATGATCTCACACATTTAAAAAACCTAAAGAATCCACCAGAAATTATCATAGCTAATAAACAAGTTCAGCAATGTCCAGGATATGAGATCAATAAACAAAAATCAGTTGTATTTCTATACACTACCAATTAACAATCTGAAAAGGAAATTAATAAAACAAGTCAATTTATAATAGCATTAAAAAGAATAAAATACTTAGGAATCAGTTTACCAAAAGACTTAACAACACTTACAGATAATAAACTATAAAATTACTTTAAGGAATTAAAGAGCTAAATTGGACATCCCATGTGCTTGATTTGAAAGTCTTAATATTGTTGTGATAGCAGTACTCCCCAGTAATCTATGGATTCAATGTAATCCCTCAAAATTGCAGCTGCTTTTTTTGTTTGTTTGTTTTGAGACAGGGTCTCCTGTCACCCAGGCTGTAATAAAGTGGTGTGATTGGCGCCCTGCAGCCTTGACCTTCCAGGTTCAAGCGATCCTCCCATCTCAGCCTCCTGAGTAGTTGGGACCATAGAAACATGCCACTGTGCCCAACTAATTTTTGTGTTTTTTGTAGAGTTGAAGTTTTGCCATGTTGTCCAGACTGCTCTTGAGCTCCTGAGCTCAAGCAATCCACCCACTTTGACCTCCTCAAGTACTGGGATTACAGGCATGAGCCACTGCCCCTGGCCCAGCGTTTTTTTTTTTTTTTTTAAGAGATGGAGAAGCTGATTCTAAAATTCATATGGTAATGCAAGGGGACTCAGATTAGCCAAAGCAGTATTGAAAATGAAGAGCAAATTTTGAAGGACTCATATTTCCTGATTTTAAAGCTTTCTACAGAGTAACAGTAATCAGGACACTGTGGTACTGGCATGAAGATGGACAAATAGATTAAGGTATAGAATTGAGATTCCAGAAATAAACCTGTAGTTTATGATCAGTTAATTTTCAGCAGTGGTGCCAAGACCAATGGGGATGGAATTTCCTGTTTCTTTTTTCTTTCTTTTTTTTTTTTTTTTTT